GTCCTGACAGGTTTGAATCAGCGGTTAGAGCGTTGACCCTCCGACCAAAGGTCTGGGGTTTGATTCCTGGTCAAGGGTGCATACCTGGGCTGCAGGTTTGATCCCCCGCCCCGGTTGGGGTCATTTGGGAAGCAACCAGTCGATGTGTCTCTCTCACATCGATGTTTCCCTCTCCCTCCCTCCCTTCCACTCTATCTAAAAAACAAAATCAGTGGAAAGATATCCTTGGGTGTGGATTAACCAAAAAACAAAACAACAACAACAACAACAACAAAAACGCTGTGTAGCAGAAGTCTGGGAACTTGGATTCTGATATCCTAGACTGATTTCCTGCGTGAAGCTTTTTGAAAGTCCTTTGACTGCATTGACTTCTTGGAGCTTCTTAGCCCAGTAAGAATCATGAGGGGAGGGCGTATTCCTCTTTTACAGAGGACAGAACCTCAGACCCTCACTTTGAGACCAGACGTCAAGGAGGAGTCGGGACCAGAGCCAGGTGTTGTGACTCCAAGACATTCCTGTTCACTGTCTCGGAGACCTAGACAGGCATGGGGGGACCAGGACCTCCCTGAGTAAGGCGGGCAGAGCAGGCTGGTCCAGATCAGGGTGGGGCAGGACTTAGACAGCAGCGGGCTCTGGGTGACTCACCTAGGGAGGGACTGCAGTCATTTGGGGGCAGTGTCTTCATGGCTGGCTTTTTGAAGACCTTAAAAGTCACTGCTGCAAAGATTCCTGCTGGAGAAACCAGGTCTGTAGCTTCCTGCTTGGCCAGCTGGAACCTGGTCTGAAGATGACGAGCTCAGATGGGAGACCAGAGCGCACCTCCCAGGGAAAGCCGAGCCGATTGCTAGAGAAGACAATCGTGTGAGAAACCAAAACATCCAATATGCTTCTTTCCACTATGAGACTGAAGCCAACTGGCCATTTTACCCAAATAGCAAGCAGCGTTGGCCAACAGCAAATAAAGCCAGAGGTCTCTCCCCAGTACCAGCTAGTGCAATGTTTTATGTAGGCAACTGAGTTTTGTTGATGCCCAGATATTAGGAGAAACCAAAATGTATGCAACCTGTCTGTTTTATAAGGTCATATATTTCTTTCTGCCTTTCTAAGGCTCAAATGTTCACATCATTCATGACCTGCTTTTACGGCTTGTCAACAAGACCATTCCATAAAATACCTTCTGAGAGCCCACAGCTGTATAGGATTCATTCTGTCTATCCATGCAGCACAAATGAAATTTTTATTTGCATCATCTAAAAGAAATACCAGTGTATAAATACATGAGAAAAGCTCATAAGAAGCCTTCCGACTGCAGATACTGCTGAGGGGTGGATATCGTGTACCAATTAAGAAGATGAGCGATGGCTTCATTTTCCACTTGCATAGATAATAAATACTGCACTCAGCAAATAGCACAGTGACTCCGTTTCTTAAAAAGGTTGCACAACCTTCCACAGTCCTGGCATGGTCTATTCTCCTTGGAATATTTGGAAACAAAGCCTCTTGGAAGAAAAAAAAACAAAACAAAAAAACTCCAGCCCGAAAGGACTTGTTTTGGATTAAAATGCTGGAATATGTAAGTGAAAGGGCTAGAACATGTTGCCTTCATGGCAGTAAATAACTGGAGGAAAAGGGGCCAGAGGAGCGAGCATGTTCTTGACAGTTGGTTTGTGTGGCTTCAGCCTGTTGACCACACAGGAGGCCCTCAAAGGTCTCCCGGCTCCCACAAGGTCGAGGTGCGGAGTTGCTGCCTCCCTGGGTCCGCCTCGGGCAGAGGCACCTCTGCAGTTTGACCAGGAGACCTGGAATTGTGGCACCAGCTGCTTCCTTCTAAGACAGACAGCTTCTCGACGGGGTCGATCCAATGCAGGCTTTTGTTCCACGTATCTGAGCCTGGGCTGAGGATCTCTCGGGCCTTTGGGCATCATGACTGAAGTGCCCCCAGAACCCGCCCTGTCCTCCCCATTGTACTGGGAGGGGGGGACAGAGGACTGTGGTCCGAGAGCTCCTCCTCCGTTCGTCTAACAGGCCCCTGGGCACCCGCATGTGTGGTTAGTCAGTTTGGTGGGTCACTCGCGTCGGAACTGCTGGGGCAGCTCCTGGGTCGTCCTGTCTGTTCACTGCGAGGACATTTTTAAATGCTCCCCATCACCTTTACAGTTGTACCCGACTTTTCAAAAGATTGAAGTTACGGCCCTGACAACTCCTGGCGGGCAGCGTGGTTTTCACCGATCGGGAGAAAGTTCAAAGGGCTCTCGGTGTTCGCGCCCCGTAGGTGGTGGTGCTTCCGGGCCTTCTGATCCGATCGAGACACCACAGGGGGTCTCTGCGGGGGGGGGGGGGGGGGGGGGGGCGGGTCTCTGCGGCGGCTCTGCAGGGCTGCACAGCGTGAGCGGAAGTCACTTTGTCCCGGTGAACTCCAGCGTGGGGACCTCAGGGGGTCCCCACAGGGGCCTGAGTCCGGCAGCGGTGGGGAACGAGGCCCGTGGCACCGCTGGGGGGCGCGCGTCAGGCTTCCGTGCAGCACCCGCCCCGTGTTGTGACAGAGGCCAGCCCTGGCTGTCCCTCTGTGGACACGCTCTTCTGTGGCCCTCTCTGCGTGGGGCTGGGTGGTCCTCGTCTTTACTTCTCCGCTGTGTGTTTCCATGCCAACAAAACAAGGGTCCTTCCTGGCCGATCCCCCCAGGAAGGTTCCCCGCCCCTCGGCCACACCTCGTGTTATCAGCCTTTTATTTGGAATCGTCCTCAGTTTACGGGAGAGTTACCCGGACAGCACAGACTGTCCCTTGGCCTGGCTGCCTCGGAGCCGGCTTATTCTCCGGGCTGGACTGTGTTCCGACGACTGTCTCCCAGCACGGGACTGTGAGTCAGCAGGGCAGCCCGGGACAGGAGAGCCGCGTCCTCTGGGATCTGTCCTGGCACGGGAGGGGCCAGGTCCAGGCGGCGTGAGGAGGTGCTGGCCTGGAGAAGAAGGAATGGACTTTCTGAATGGAAGACATCGGGTCTGGCGTGCCCCTCCCAAGGCCGCAGGTAATAAATGGTCGTTGAGTGACTGAGAGAGAGAATGAACAGACGAACAAGTAGGCCAAGTACTGGACCAAGGACACACGGCGGATACAGAGGGGCGGTGGAGTCGGCGCTGATGCGGGGGATGGCCTTCCTCCTCCAGAGCCCCTGCTTGTAGCGACACCCGTCGGGCCACCAGCTCAGTATTTCAGCTGTCCACACTGAGGGTGCTGCCTCTCGCAGCCGGGACAAGGACATCTGGTGTCTTCCGTGCGATGGCCCTTCCTGTCTTCTCCAGACAGCCCTCCCCCAGTGTCTGCCGGCATCTCCACCTGGAGCCAGCCCCTCCGTCTGCACAGCCAGAGCCTTGTCCTGTCTGGGAGGGATGCAGGTGCAACCCTGAGCCCACAGTCCCGTCCCCTTGCTCACCTGTGCGCGTGGCCCCTCTCCCTCCCCCCCACATGGCTGAGGGGCCCCGCTCACAGCCTCGCCTCTGGCCATAGTCCCAGCTCTTGGTTCATCCCAGTCCCCGTGGTTCTCAACACCTGGCGTTTTCCGTGCTCTGTGACCAGCTTGAGAACTTTCCAGAGACACCATGTCAGACGGGTAATACCCGAGGAGCAATCCTTTTGTAAGCTAAATGTAACCACAGACTTCCACACTGCGAATGATAAACTGGTGTGGATTGAAAAGTATTCAGGGGGCTGTAAAATGTCTAGGATTAAAATTTCAATACCATTTGTGCCCCATAAATAAGAACTCCTTAGTAACTTAAAACTGCACCGTTATGACTCGGGTCTGAAGAGTCTGCATCCCAGTCGAAGAAATAGGATCACGTGGGAGGGATTCTGGGCCCATCCTCTACCTTGAGGGATGCCCTGTGGTCGCACGGAATAGCGAGAGCGTGACCTCATGGGAGAGCGAGCCCCGAGAAAGGACTGTCAGTTAAGGAAGAGATACACTCTCCGAAGAGAGAACTGTTACACTTTCCATTAGCAGCGTTGATGGAAACGAGGCTGAACTAAACCTGTGTCGCTCGATTAGCTGGTTGGACAGACAGGACCCCAAGAAACAAGATCATATAATCGTTTATTGAATGACTTAATTTTTTTTTCATAACCCAGTCTAGTCGGTCTGAGCTGGCGGATTAATTTTGTCTCTAGAATCGCTCCCCGAAGCCTATGAAATTAGCCTCTGGGAGACCAGGGAGGGATTGGCGTGGTGCTTAACGGAGGCTCGGGGACGTAAGGAAATGGATTTAGTCTTAATACAGCTGAAGCCTGGAGACTTCTAATAGAGAGCTGATGTTAAGGAAATATTCATTCATCATGTAAAAGTCGCCATTTGGGCCTTTTTGTTGCTCACTGAAGGACAGAACTCTGCACTTGGAGTGTGATAATCACCCTGCACGGAGTATGAGTCTTGAAGGAAAAATTATGGCTTTTTTGTGGTGGTTAATCCTCACCCACGGATATTTTTTTGTTGTTGATTTTTAGGGAAGGTGGGATGGGGGGAGAGAGAGAGAAAAACATCCATGTGAGAGGGACACATTGACTAGTTGCATCTTGAACAACCCCAACCGGGCCTGGGGATTGAACCCACAACCCAGGTATGTGCCCTTGACCGAGAATCGAGCCTGAGACCCTTCAGTCCTCCGGCCGACGCTCTAACCCCTGAGCCACAGCAGCCAGGGCTTTTGCTGTTGTTTTAAGTTATGAAGTTTTATGGTTGGCCCTGGCCGGCTTTGCTCAGCGGTTGGAGCATCGGCCTGTGGTCCCGAGAGACCCGGGTTCAGTTCCTGCGAAGGGCACGTACCTCAGTTGCAGTTTGCCCCCGGCCCTAATTGGGTCGTGCGGGTGGCAGCCACTCGATGTGTCCCTTTCACATCAATGTTTCTCTCTCTGTCTCTCTCCCTCCTGCTCTATCTGAACAAAAAAAGAAAACATGTTCTCGGGTGAGGATAAAACAACAAACAAAAAACAAAGTTTTATGGTTAGATGGACAGCGACCCCATCGGCTTGGACGCTCATTTTCTAGGATTTCATAGATCAGGGTGTTTCCCCAGCCTTAGGCAGCTCCGGGGCTTCTCCCCGAGTCGTGTGCATCACGAGCCCCCGAGGCCAAGCTGTTTCTGACCAGGATGAAGATCGGGGCTGTTTTCTTTCCAATGCAGGGGCGACCTTGGGAGGCAACTTCGCACCTGCCACGCCACGGGCCCAAGCAAGGGACGAGGGAGGAACTCCTGAAGTGGTCAGCGCAGCTCTTCTGAACGGAGACCCCTGGGACCCCACGCAGAGTGTCCACGCACAGGTCGGTGTCGAGTGCAGATGTCCCGACTCCCACGGCTGCACCTGTCAAGTCCCTTTGACCACGTTCCTCTTCTTTCGTTCACGTTTCGTCTTTAGTTTAATGCTAACTCAATCCTCCTAGCGTGAGCTCTTTCTTCTTGCACAGATGGACACAAACCACTGTTGTGTTGGCGTCCGCCAGCTGCAGCCTTATTTGCATGTGTTGAAAGTTGTTTTTCAAACACACACCAGGGATTCCATTTCCAGACGCACACGCTCTTGTGTTCTTCCTGTTGGGGCGCTGAGTATTTTTCTATGTTTTCATCTCGATCATCCGCATGTGTGCTGTGTCCGTCAGTTATCGGTAGAAATGTTTCAGTGCAACTTTTAAAAAAATAAGCTCGTAATGAGTTTTAATGAGTTTTGCATTCTGTTGACGTTGACATGCTTGACTGTCTTCGATGAGGTAAAGGCATAATATGAAATAACTGCAATGTTAGTAGTTAAATTAACTAGTTGGATGAGTTTTACCTGCCACATTTCTATGACTTACTGGAATTGCAGAACTCCTTGGGACAGTTGGAAAGCGATAACATCTCTAGAAATATGAGCTCTTGGGTGAAATCAGGCAGATGGTTTTGTCCTTGTGTTATGTGGACCTAATTTTAGGTTACTTTTTATAATAAAAAACAGGTCTTAAAAAAAAAAAGGAGTAATTGAGATTGTGAAAATCTTTTCTAGAAGGACTGTCATGGGCCACCTTTATGTCAGTAACGGGAACGTCATTTATGCCATTAATTGCTTTTTTTTTAAAGAGAGGCTCTTAGTTGAAAGTGAGCATTCAGAAAGGTAGGAGGTTTGATGAAAGGATCTACTTGCCACATGGATGCTTTTGGAACATTCCTGTTTCATGGATACTGTTGCAAACTGAATACACTAAGTACACGTCAATCATGGTGATACTGATGTGTCCTGGAAGAAAAATTCAAGACACCAAAGACCATTTCGGCATGCCATGAGTCAGCAAAATTGGGAAGGACTTGGTAGATGCAGAAAAAGAGAACTCAACTATGTATTTCATAAATAAAGTATTTAAAATATTTATAGGTATTACAATAATGCCGGACCGTGGAACACCCCGATGTTTCTTGCGTGGTGAAGGCTGGCTGGGGGGCTTTCCTGCTGGTAGGATTACCAGATTTAGCAAATGGAAATATAGAATATACTCCTTTACACTGGGACTTCAGATAAACATGCTTTTTTTTTTTTTTTTGTATAAGTAAGTCCCACACAATATTTTGGGGACATACTTAACCCCAGAGTTCTTCATTGTTTATCTGAAATCCAAATTTAACTGGTGTCTGTCTTTCATCTGACATCCCTGCGGTGGGGGTGGAGCCAGGGCCTCACGCTGGTAGGAGACGTCTCGCTCTGCTGGAATGAACCATTCACGATGGCTCTGGTTTCTGACCTGGCTTCATCCATCTGGCCAGCCACCCACTTTGCAGACGCCACAAAGTGTCCTGGAGGGAAAGTACCACATCCGCTGCCGGTATCAGCCGGATGACTGCGGGCCAGCAGCACCGTCCCTAGGGAATAGGAAGGGCCGTCACCGTGTGACAGCTGTCCACCTCCTCTGGGATCCGCCACCAGGGTCAGGACTATGTGGGTAGCGGGCACACGCCCACTGCAGGCAGTAACTCCAGGTGACGGCAGTATTTAAGGGACTAGGTGCAGGGGTGGGGGACTTTTTCTCCGCCAAGGGCCACGTGGATATTGATAACATCATTCGCGGGCCACACAAAATCACCAACTTAAAAATGCGCCAGCTCTATGTGGTCAGGCTCATTTAGTGAGGCTGTGATGCTCGCTGGTACTGATTTCAAGGGCCTTACACAGCCTGTGGGCCGGACGTTCCCACCCCTGGCAGGGAGCTGGTGATGTGGGGACCAGCATCTTGTTGTAACGCGCGGGGCTCACGCAGCACGGGGCTCATAGGACCAGCATCACGGCACTGTGATCCCCACATGCACCCGCACACAGTGGTTAACCTCTGCTGCCCCGCACGGGTGGACAGGGGTGCGTGTGAATGTGGCGGCATGCGTGTGCACCTTTGCTCTAATTCTCCGTGGCATGGATGTGTGTATCTGCTCTGCGAACAGGGATTCTGGCGAACGGTGCGTGTGTGTGTCTTTGTTAGCAAACACGGTGGGGACCGTTCTCATGCTCAGCCGCATTGACCGGCTGTGCCTTCAGGTACACAGACAGGCATTCGGAGAGTCTTGGCAGCCCGCTCCGCCTGCTGTGCCTTGGGATGGTGACATTTGGGTGTGCAGCCTCGCTTTCCTGCTCCCCTGCTTCATTCCTTGACCCCAGGTGCTCTCCCCTCAGCCGTTTTTAACTGAGCACCTGTTTCTCCAGACCAGGTACGAGGCCTACAGTAATGAAGGGGACAGACAAGCCTTCTGCTCCGGGCAACTCACATTCTAACGGGGGAAACGTCAAGAAAACAAATGCAGGTTGTGCTCGGTGTTAAGAGAGAAACAACAAACGATTCAAGGGACCAACGGGAGATCTATTTCGACAGGTCGCCAGAGGAGACCTTGCTGTTAAAGCCGTCAGACTTTTTAGTAAGCTCGAGAGCCAGGCAGGAGGAGAGGGAGGGGCTGGTGCGGGAGCCGGGAGCCCGGCGTCTGCGGTGAGGGAAACAGTCCCCATGACGTCGAGCAGCGGCCAAACACCGGCCGGCTGTGTGGGTCATCCATGACCTCGCTGTGGCCTGTGGGAAACAGACATTCATCCTGAGAAGGTGGTCCTCCACCTGGGACACAGCAAACCACCACCTCGATTCTTGCGGTTGTCCTTTCGAGAGGTGGCCCGTGCCGAATTCACAGCAGCGAAAGGCCTTCCTGACTCTCAGGAGTGCCCAACTCTCAGCACCTTACTGCCTGCAGGGTCAGAAGTCCAGTGTCCTGGACCTGGAAGCTTGAACAGACCGGTTCTGGTGGGGACGCCACAGGCCCCTGGTCCCTCCGGTTTCCCCCAGCCTGTCCTGCCGAAGCCTACAGAGCTGGACCTCACGTCCACAGCACGTAGGAAAGCCAGGCTTGGCGTGAAGAGCACATTACCTGCGGCCTGACTCCATCCTCTCCCAGCATGCACTGTTCTGACCTGCTCCCCGCACCGCAGACGAGCCGTGGACCCCTGCACTCTGCCTGGCCAGGGGTCAGGGCCGCCCTTGGGACTGGCTGGCCGAACGGGTCATTTGCCCCACGTGCTCTGAGCCAGGGCTGGAGGGCAGCGACAGGTGCCGGGGAGCCCATCACGCATCCACGGTACCGATGAAACGCCCGTTGTGCGCCGGGCACTGTTCCTGGTGCTGGGGCCTCTCTGCCCTGATGGAGCTTCGGCCCGACAGCAGGAGGGAAGCGTGTGGACCGATGGTGTGCCCGCGGGTGCCCGAGGGGGATATGGAGCTGAGACTAAGCGTGTGAGGGGGGACTTCCTTGTGGAGGTGGCGTCGAGCAGTGACCTGAAGGAAGTGGCCGGTGAGCCAGCCAGGCAGGGCCTGGGGAAGAGCAGCCAGGAGAGGGACCAGCGCATCGGCTGGAACAGAGGGGCATGCGGAGGAGGCACAGAGTCTGCCCACAGGGCCCGAAGCGCCTGGGCGGGAGCAGGACAGGGCTCCTGGGCGTGGAGCCTGCCAGGTGCGGTGTTGTAACAGCTGTAACAGCTGGGCGGAGGCCCCGGCGTGGGCTGGGAACGAGGGGCACAGTGTGTGTGGCGCGGGGCCAGTGACACATCCAGGAGAGTGAGGGGGCGGGGGTGGGAGGTGGGCAGGTCGAAGGGAAGGCCATTGGTCGGCACTGCGTCGCTGCCTTGCTATGTGCGGTGGGTCTCACCCTGGCTGCATGGTGGGATCGCTCGCTCTCCCTGCCTCTGGCTCACCTGTGATTACATATGTGAAGGACATTATGACCTTCACGGGTGCAGCCCTGAGCCGTCATCGGCGCCGTAATTAAGCTGACAGAGCAGGGGACGCGGGAGAAGGTGACCTGTGCGCCTTGCTTGTTTGGATCTAGCACGACGGGGTCAGCTCACCGCCTTGCCTCCCTCCCAGGTTCATTGCAAGAGTGCGATGAGACAATGGCTATAAAACCATGTCGGAAACTAAAAACTGCTCCGTCCATACGTGTAAGGTGATAGTGGAAGGTTCAAGTGTCTTCGGGGACCCGGCTCCAATTTCATGTCTTGAAAAAGTCCGCCCTGGCCCGGGGAAGACTTGTCAAGGGCCGTGGCTCCTGAGGGCCCCGGTTGAGCTCGGCCTTCGGATCTCCAGGAAATGTCCCGTTTCCGGCTTTCGTGCATGAAAATGAACTTACGGAAATAGTACATGAACCGGCAAAGAAAACGGCAAACGGATTAGATCCTGAAACCGAAGCTTCCCTTCGCCTGTTGCGGGTCTCGGATGTCGAATACCAGATAGCAGCTAATCCGGGCCGCGGGGATTCCGCTCCCAACGCTCCCATTTGCTGTTTCACAGCTGGGACCAGCCCTGCCTTCCCTCCCAACCGACCCCTCGCACCCCTGCCAGGCAGCCTTCTCGGAGTGGGGCCACATCCCCCGCACCCCTCGCCTGCAGCGTCCACTCCCCACATATGGTCACAGCTGTTCCTGCCAAGCCACAGCCTCTCCCTCTTGATCTTACTGATCCTGACACGGATTCTCCTTTAAAACCCTTGCTTCCCGTGGCTCCGAGACCCTCTCCCTCGTGTTTCTCCTCCTGTGGTTTCAGTTGTGTCTCCAGTCCTCGCTTGGACTCTCCTCGAACTGTTCGTTTCTTCTGGGTTTCTTCCCGGACCCACTTCTGACCGAGGGCTGGCCCCGTCCCTCACCCCTGCGGCCTCACTGTCCACCTGTAGGGACCAGAGCCAAGGTTTGCCCCTCATCCGGGCACCAGAGGCTGCCCGGGGGGCTTCTCCATCTCTGCGGGGACTTTGCAAACCACGGTCGAATGCCTGG